GTGCTGCTGAAGAACCCGGTTCTGGCAGTGGTTCTGGACCAGACACTGGAGAACACTGGCTTCTCCTCAGCTGTGATCAGTAATTTCCTATTCAACGGGCCGGAGTCAGAGCGGCCGGCGGGAATGCCTTCATTCGACTGGAGGAACGTCTTTAACGCCACGAGCCAATCAGCACAGCAGCTCACGCAGATCCTGAAGGTCTGTCTGCATTTACTGAAGGGTGTTACAAAGTATTAAAAGTTAATTTAATCAATTTAGAGAAATGTAAGGCGCTTAAAAGATATTAAACGATTTTACAAGGCATTAAATATTGTATATTTTTATTATACAATGTATAGTTGTATGCTAACGTTTGCCTGAATTTAATATGTGAACATTACGATGCTGGATAATTTATGAAATCGATAAAATCCCACTAACTTTGACATCAGGCGTCTTTGTTTGCTGCTATAGCCGTCCTCTGCTGGATAAGCATTTTTATTCAGTATATGTATATTTTAGTTTCTTACGATCAGTATTTATTAAATATACTGTGTGTTAAAATGGCGCCAATGTTACCAGTGGCGACCTAAAAGTGCCGATGAGGTTTTAAATTGTATGGAAAGATTTTTTAAAGGGTTTTAAAAGGAATTAAATTAAACTCTGATTCCTGTATATACTCTATACTGACAATACTTCAGCTCAATTTAAATATTTTAGTTTAAGTTACGTTTTAGTTTGTTACCTATGATTCTCAAAACATAATTCGCTTGCTGATCTGCACAAGCGCTGTCTACTCATGTACAATAAGGACATGTTTCTGAAACGTACAAAAAATGCACTCTAATCTGAAATGTACAACAAAACGTATTCTAAGTCACGAATTTCAAATTTACGAAATTGTAGACAGCGCCCTCTAGTGGATTCAACATCTGAAACGTACAAAAAACGTATTTATAGTAAACATATTTTAGATTTGCAAAAATGTAGACAGCGCTTTCTAGTGGATTTGACATCTGAAACGTGCAGCAAAATGTATTCATAGTTAACATATTTCAGATATGCAGAAATGTAGGCAGCGGCCTCTAGTGGATTTCTATTCAGAAACATGCAAGTTAAGTTTTAGTTTGTTGTCCTTGCTTCTAAAAACACTTCGCTATCTGATCTGTACAACAAGAACCAACTTTTTTGTATATAAGAAGCATGTGTGTCTGATATGTACAAAAAACAAATTCTAAGCAACGTATTCCAGATACACAAAAATGTAGACAGCGCCCTCTAGTAGATTTGTCTTCAGAAATGTACAACAAAACATATTCCAAGTAATGTATTTCACATTCGCAAAGTTTTAGACGGTGCCCACTAGTGGATTTGCCATCTGAAATGTGCAACAAACGTAGCCATAGTTTAACATATTAACATATTTTATATTTCGCTAAAATTAATACAGAGGTGCATATTTGCAATTAGTCTGGGCTGGAAAGTTTAGTTTATTTTAATTTATTTTCTTTCATTTCCCAAAATGCCTTTACCTTTACCGCTGTTTCAAGGCAAAATTTGATTTTAACTTCCTGCGAAGTCCTCCAATATAAAAAAACACCCACTAGTGGATTTGTAATCTGAAACTTACAAAAAAGCACACCCTAAGTAACATATTTCAGATTACCAAACATGTGGCATCGCCCACTAGTGGATTTGTAATTGGAAACGTACAACACAACACACCCTAAGTAACTTATTTCAGATTTGCAAACATTTGAACAGCGCCCTCTAGTAGATTTGTAATGTGAAACATACCACACAACGTATCCTAAGTAACATAATACAGATTCGCAAATACTTAAACTTCTCCCCTAGTTGATTTGTAATCTGAAACGTAAAACAAAAAGTACCCTAAGAAACTTATTTCAGATTTGCAAACTTTTAAACAGCACCCTCTAGTGGATTTGTAATTGAATTGTATGACAAAACACACCCTAAGTAATATACTTCAGATTGGTATACATGTATACATCGCCCTTTAGTGGATTTGTAATCTGAAACATACAGCATGGCGTACCCTTAGTAGCTTATTTCAGATTCACAAACTATTAAACAGCGCCCTCTAGTGGATTTTTTATCTGAAACGTACAACACAATGTATCCTAAGTAACATATTATAGATTTGCATGTATTTAAACTTCGCCCTCTTTAAATTTGCAAACATTTAAACAGCGCCCTCTAGTAAATTTGCAATGTGGAGCGTACAACATAACGTACCCTAAGTGACTTGTTTCAGATTCGCAAACTTTTAAACAGCACCCTCTAGTGGATTTTTCATTTGAAACGTAAAACACAACGTATCCTAAGTAACGCATTGCAGATTTGTGAATATGTAATCTTCGCCCTCTAGTGGATTTGTAATCTGAAACGTACAACATAGCGTACTCTAAGTAGATTATTTCAGATTCGCAAACTTTTAAACAGCACCCTCTAGTGGATTTTTTATCTGAAACGTACAACGCAACGTATCCTAAGTAACGTATTATAAGTTTGCAAACATTTAAACAGCGCCCTCTAGTGGATTTATAATCTGAAACGTACAACATAGCGTACTCTAAGTAGCTTATTTCAGATTTGCTAACTTTTAAACAGCGCCCTCTAGTGGAATTTGTACTGAAACGTACAACCCAACGTATCCTAAGTATCGTCTTATAAATTGGCAAACATGTAAACATCGCCCTCTAGTGGATTTGTCATGCAATGTAACCTAATCGGAGCAGCATGTTTCAGGTTTCACAGATGAAATGTTGGCTGATTCACATGTCTCCAGTGAGCCTGGATAGCTTTATTATCTTTATGTATTTACTAAGTATAAAGTCTTTAAGTACGTTTATTTCTCTTCCAAAGCAACAATCCTGTTCCTCAACTAATCTCAGATTTGTCCAGCAGTGGTGCGTTCATTCGTCTGTACTCATTTCCTTCAGCTCTGCTCACAACAATTAACTCAGGTTTCATTCTGCTTTTCTCTCCGTCTTCCCCCCCTCCAGCCTTTATCTGTGCTGATCTCTTCGCTCTTTTATCCTCGTTTTTGTCTGAAACCCGAGCAGAATTGTGATGGTGTCGCCCAGGGGTGAACAATCCAGGCCGGCAATCAAAAGGTTACAGGTTTGAGCCTTGCAAGTGTTGATCTGTAGCGCTGAACTGTGATTCAGACTCACCGGAGCTGTAATGAGAACACTTTTCATAGGATGCAGCATCCCTCCAGCTCTGGTGTCAAAACACACTGTTCAGCACGTCGTGATGCCGATGATCACAGTCATTAATTTGCGCTGCGTTTCATTTTGTGATCAGGGAATCAAAGCACAATGGAGGAGAGTCTGATCCTGCGTGTGTCTGGATCTGAACAACACCATAAATAAATAGTGTGTGGCGGGAATCAAAGCAGCTCTCGACACTTGTGTTGATCAAACTGTTACACCACTTCTTCGGGGCTTTAGCGTCTGGAAAGAAAACAGCTTTATTGTCTGCAGAGTGTAGAATAACATCATTGTTGTTAAAATATATTAGATATAAGATAGTGTAAGGGTTGAAGATGCGGCGTCATGTTAATATTACTTAGCAGACTCATTCTGACTGGATTATGCAAGGCAGCGAATCATTATTTGGAGACTCGCTCTGACTGAATCATTTGAATTGGTGAATCATTAATTGTAGACTTGATCTGACTGGATAATTTGAATCAGTGAATCATTAATTGTAGACTTGATCTGACTGG